CATGAGGTGTTTATTTAGACTGAGTAGATCAGGGGACTCCCTGAAAGGAACTGCCCAATGGGAAGCTTCCCCAAGAACTACATACTGTAAAAGTTAAATTAATAGCCCGGGCTATTGTTTGCTTAAATCACTGAACTCAACTGGCACATATTTGGGATGGGTGTCCATGTGGGACAGGCCTTTTATTCCTTACACACAAAACTGTTGCTCAGTAAAGATGGGAAATGTAATTACTTTTTTTTATTCAAACCAGTATGAATATTGCTTTTACAAAAATAAAGCTTTGAGTAACATATCAATTATGAATCATTCATTTGATCTAGTTCAGAAAGACAGTGCATCAGAAAGAGAGAGTTACGACATGTTTTTTTTTGTCGTTCGTTTTATAATGGCACCCAGCATACCAACACAACACACTTTATCCTGTTAAAACAATATCGACACATTGGATTAATTTTTATGAGATACCCTTTTGATTCTTTTGAACAGTGGGTTTGTGGATAATGGACCAAAGGAATATGAATAATTTACTGGGTAATTAATTAAGGAGTGGACACATATTCAGACATTGTGACAGCTACAGAGGCAGGGAGTCACCACTTTTTTGTTAACCGTCTTTATTGTTTAATACTCTTATAAATCTGAATGAATTACGGTCTTCTTCTATGTAGCATCTCCCCATAACAAAAGTTCAAACATTTATATTTGTGTGCACCATCCAGTGATTGACAAAGTAGACAACTCTATTTCTTGAGTCAAATTAGAGATACTCCTGGTCAAATATTATTCCAAAACAAGTGAAAGTTGCTGAGTCCAATTTTACTAGAGTTAAATTACTGGAGTACTTGCTTTAAAAAAACCCACTAAATACTTAAAGGATTTATAATTAAAAAAAAAAAAAAAATCCCAATGCATTGTTGTACACACACACACACAACACGGGGTCCTATGAATCCACAGCTAAAGTGAAAATGCTGAGTAGAAATATTTTTAACAGTGCATGACCAAACATTGCACAAAAACTGCAACCACTACAAGCAGACAACTTTGTTTAAAATATTCATCTGGAATGAAGCAAATGTTTACAGACCATGACATGCTTTCTGAGGTTGGATGGCAAATTCTTGTGATGAAGTTAACAGAGCAAACATTTAAAATGATACGCATCAGTCTTCATTTCAAAAACTTATAACATTGACTTGAGGAATGGCTATGGATGATCTGGTGGAAGATCTCTATCTGCCTGTCTCTATTAATGAGCTCCCCAATCTGAATATCACATGTACAAGGTAGAGGTAGAGTAACACCACTTCAACAAACAAACCCCACACAGAACTGCATGATCACAGTTCGTGAACTTGTGCATTTAAGAAGAAAAAAAAATATCCACTGACTTAAAAGCATATGTAACAAGTAACGAGCTGGTTGCCAGTGCTGCATTGGCTCGTGTTCAGTGTACACCTGCGTAACTCAAGGTTCCTCTTGTACTGAGAGAGTACCTACTCTGAATTAGGAGCTAAAAAATCCCCCAAAACGTAGTTCTGAGAACTAAATCATTCCTAGTAATCACAAATACAACACCAAGGAGGGTTCTTAGAACTATGACAAAGTTCCTCAGGTCTGAAAAAGCCTATGTTCTTTCATCCCTGTCCTGTCATAAGAGAGCATTATTAACTAACTTTAAAAAAAAAAAAAAATGGGGGATTGATATTCAGTTTGTCATGACAAAAAAAGTGGAAATAAAAAGCAAAGGCAATGGCACAGAGTTTCTTATTTCTAAAAGTCAAGAAAGCAGACTACTGTTGGTGGTCTGCAGTGTTCATCTGTATTCTGGAATCATGCTGAACCCTATTCTGGCACCTGGCGATTTTCATGGGGACAAATATTCAATGACATTCTGTTGAATGTCCAACCAGTCTAGATTTTATGACCGTCACGATGTTGCTGTCGTCTGATGGCGTTTCTATACCTATCTCCAACAAGTGTTTTTATGTTTTTAAACATTATGTAATGATCCTAACTTTGTACGAAGTGATGAGTTATAATCGTGTGTATCGGTTAGCTGGTTGTTTTGTTGAGTTTTCTCAGTCTTGGACTGACTCACAGTAAAAGACTACTGTTAAGACTGAGGATAAACAAGAATGTTCATTGCAGGCCAGCTGGCTGCATCTCTCAGTCATCTGTGTGTTCAACTGAATCACGTTTTCTCTTTTAAGCAGTTACGGAAAATGAATAAATAAATGAACAACTAAAGAGCAGGGGCCTCATGTACAAAGACCTGTGTGGATTTCCTACTGAAACATGGTGTACGCTTGAATCCAGAAAACGCCATACGTACAAAAATATCCAGATGTATGAATCTGTGCGTACACATGAATCCAAGCACATTTCCTTTGTACATCCCAATCAACGTGGAATTGAGCACCCATGTTGGAGTACCCGACCAATCCCTGTCAACGCCCACATTTAAATATGCAAATCATATTTAAATGAACCCTGCACCTGAGATTCCCCTCTCTGCGCGATCAGAAAACTAAAACAAAAGAATGAATAAGACGGGGAAAAAAGAAAATCTTCACAGAATGCGAATTGGAAACGCTACTCATTTAAGTGGAGGCGCGCAAAGATGTACTTTTTGGCACACAGTCCTCCGGCATCAATACAAAACGCAAGAGGAGTGAGTGGGAGAGTGTGTGTGAGGCTGTCAATGCAGTGGGGTCAGAAAAGCGTACACACGCAGAATTAAAAATGAAGTGGTCCGACATTAAGGTGGACGTGAAGC